ACCATTTGTTGAAAAGACAAAATACTTCATTTTGAAGTACCTATAGTTGTAATTGCATAATAACTGCACCAAGAGGGCAGAACTGTGCCAGTCTTGTTCACCACTTTTTCTCCAGCACTCAGCCAATGCCTAGCTCCTAGTAAGCACTCATACACATTGGCTGAACTAAGTAATAATTTTATTATTAATAATAAACACTCTATAACTCTATGAGTTACAGGTATTATCATTTCTATGTTACTTAGGCTCATAGAAGTCAGGCAACTTGTGCCTTGTTTTGCTGCTTCTCAATTTTTGACTCACGTGCTCTCTCCTCACCTGGGAAGGGGGTTAGTGAGCTCCTCCAGAGAAGGGACTGTTTCTCCTTCCTCACTGTGTTCCTTCCAACACAAATTCAGCTCAGGGCTAGGCACAAAGGACAGGCCGGGCAGATAAGTAATTAAGGGGCAAATGTACAATGCCCTCCATGACCAGGTTCCTACCTGTCTCCAGTCCCTCCTGGCCTCAGACTGTGATCCAGCAACACCAAACAGTCTATCATTTCCCTTCCTCACCACATACTCTAGGCTGTTTCTTTTCTCAGTGCCATCACTAATGCTGCCCCCTTTTTCTATTTGCTAAGCAATCCTGGTATTTTAAGACTCTGATCAGGTGTCATTTTTCTCTAGGACATTTTCTCTGGTCCCTCAGGTTGCTTAGGGGCATCTGCTAGGCTCCTGTCTCAGCATTGATCACACTGTGTTACCACAGTCTTCCTAAGACTCCTTTATCGAGGGCAGGAATCATGCCTGGCCAGATGTCTCCTGTGCCAGGTATATGACCCAGCATATGACAAGTGCTCAGAAAAGTTTTGTCGAATAAACAAATGAATCCTGGAGAGAAAGGGCAGGCAGTCTGAAGTCCAAGACTAATACCATCAGACTTCCTTCATTTAAAAAAATACTTGGGGGAAAAAAAAACAAGCAAGCTAGCTAGCTAGCTTGGGCTGATGGGAGCAACCAAGTTAAGCACTCAGCAGAGGCCCAGCTACCTGCCAGGAGAAGGAAAATGGGTAGAGGTGTAGTCTTTCACGCAAGTTCATTCAGAAGGAAATGTGATCTTCACTGGGAGAACAGGAGGCCTCACTTCTCCCAGCACCAATAGCTCCTCGCATGGCTCAGCCAGAGCCTGAACAGATGTGCCTTCAGTCTGTCCTGTGCCCTAGGTTTCGGGTGAGTGGTTTCTGAGTCCAGAAGCCAGGCTCTGGACTGAGCCCAGGAGTGGGGCCACCTGCTAATGATGCTGACAGGTGGGATCAGGGCCCTGGATTAGGCTTCCACTCCTGAAAAGCCAGAACTGAACATACGAACAAGGTTTAAGTGCCTTGGGGGAAGAAGGAAATGGCTACCACAAGGGGAGACAGGAGGTGAGGAGGAAGGGAAGAAAAAGGGACCCAGTCTCCCTCTGATATAGCCAGCAGGAGTATGCAAACAAGACTGGATTACCTGCTTCAGGTTTGCTGAAAAGTCTGTAAAAAGCAGCTTTCCCCAAGTTTCACTGTGCTGGAGAAAAGGGTAAGACATGTGGGGAACCAGACCTTGTCCTTGCCCTGGGGAGGCACACAATTCAGTGGTTTACGTTGAAGTCTAGCCCAAACCTTCTTTCTTTTTCTTTTTTTTTTCAGCCTAAGCCTTCTTAATATAAAGAGCAGAGTGTGATGAGTGGCAGACCCTTCCCTGCCCTTTAGCCAAGCAGGCCCACACCACACATGGTTAGCCAGCTCCACATAAATCAGGTCAACAGTCCCCCTACATCAGGGTGGCTGTCCATGAGGACTCCTGATCTGGGCACCATGTGAACCTCGCTGATTTTCCTGTTTGTGGATTGAGTGCCTCCTCAGTGCTGACGTTCAGCCCTGCTTCTTGCATCTGACCTCTAACTTCTCTTCCACAGCAAAGGATTATTCTCCTGCCACAGGCTGGCAAGGCTCCTCCTAGATGACCTGCATATCCTCCCAAACCAGAAGGCAGGTGCGGGGCAAAGGAAGGGTGGATGACACTCAGCTGGGAGAAGTCAAGGAAGGCATCACAAGGGCCACAGTACCTGAGCTGAGTCCGGGAGGCTGGGAGGATTTAAGCAGAGGGTAATGAGCACAGTGTACAGAGGGCAGTCTCTGTGGAGGGCTCATACCTAGGACCCAGGAACTGCAGATTCCAGAGACTCCTTAAAGAGGATGATGAAGGTCCCCCCACCCCCACAACCTGCCCCTGAGCAGAAGAGCCTCAGATTACTGCCCTTCACTCTCTAGAGCTCTCCCAAGGCTCTGGGGCTGGAGAGGGTAGGGAGTCATCAAGGCAGAGGTACACACAGCATAGAGCCGTAGAAAGGGCAAGGGGGAAAGGAGGGAAGAGGCCAATATTATTTACCTGGTCTGAGTTTTATTCCAAATCTGATTATCACTGACCATACAGATTATACACAGGATGACCTCACAATGTATAAACTATGAGTAAATATGTTTTAAAAATTGATTCTATCCTGCTATTGGTAGGTCTGTTTGGCAGAGGTAAGGGCCAGAACAGATGGACGAAGAAATTAAGAGTAAAATGAAACACCTGTGCAGAGTCTATGGCGTAAAAAGGCTGAATAAGGACCTGCTGTAGGAATTCGAGAAAGTTTCCTCTGGCAAGGACGGTCAAGTTCTCCTCACCCCCACCTCTAGGCCTAGTTCTATGAGCAGGAAGGACTGTAAGTTGCATGTTACAAGTTTTTTCCTTGATACCAGAGCCTGGGTCACCCTCCACCCCCATCTCCAGTGCCCATTCACTCACTCATAAGCAGGAACTGTTTTAGATGAGAAGGAACAAGGGGTATCCTAATTCAGGCCTTTATCACCTTGGATTTATCTTATTCAAACAGCTTCTTAACAGATCTGCCTTCAGCTTTTCCCCAATTCACTTCATCCTTCACCCTTCTGCATGACCCTAACTGGATCATTTCCCTGTTTATAACCCTCCCATGTCTCCCCCACTGCTTATAGGATAAGAATGTAAAACTCCTAACTAACCATGAGCATTCCAGGCTTTGCGTTTTCTTGCTTTTCTCAAATCACCTTCCCCCTTTCCCCACACCTTGCAACACTGCACAACCACCTCAGCAGCAGCAACATGACACTGGGCCCCGCGGATAGCCAGCCACTGCTGTCCACCGCCTTCGTTAGCTTGCTCTCTGCTCACTGGCTGGGAGGGAAGGAGGGGGCAGGCGGCGAGGTGGTTGGGGAGACTGCTGGGCTGAAGGGCAGGGTCTGTGCCTCGCTCATCTCTGACTTCCTCACAAGGGGTGAAGGGAGATTCTGAGTCATCATGACCAGCAGAGATAGGATAAGAAAAAGCAGGAGAAAAGAAGGTTAGAGGCTGGGGACACACCTGAAAGGCCCCGACAGACTCTATCCACATGGGCAAGAGTGAATGTTCTGAGTCACACACACACCATAAATTCAATTACTTTCTGTATTCTTTGGGCAGGGGTTGAATTGCTATTAAGAAAAATGTGTATTTGAAAGAACCAAAATAAACACTTGGGGGCTCAGTGGAACAGGGTAAACTTAGCCTCCCCTTGATGATGGAAAGGTGGGTTCACAGCACAGCTGCTCTGTAAATGTGCTGCCTACCCTGGGTTGCCAGATGAAAGCAGCAGCCTGGTTGCCCTTAGCAGTTACCAACAGGTGATTCCAGGGTCAGCAAAGACCTGAAACCAGGAGGCACAGCCCATTTCCACCCCCTTGCCTCCTCGTACTGCAGCAGAAGGAAACAAGGCTCATTTGTTTCTGGGGGAATGAAGATGCCATGCACAGGCTGCAGTTATGAATGGTTCTTATAACAATAAACTGACATCTGTGCTTGGTTTTTAAGATGCATCATTGCATGTTTATTAAACTATTGCTCCATCATATTTATTTGGCTACGAAACAACTCCCAGCCCTTACTTCCAGAAGTGGTTTATTAAAAACTAAGCCTTGAACATTAATACTCAAAAGCACCCTTGAGAATCAATAATAATGCTGCAGATAAAATGAAAGGGAATCAAAGCAGTAAGTCTTGGTGGGGGCTGTGGCTGCCTTTCAACACTCTTGTATGTTTAGGCAGCTGGAGCGGGGAAGAGCACCACGGGTGTGCAGAGATAGCCTCCCCAAACACTGGACTTCTTGTCTAAAGTGTGGACATGGAGACAAGGAAGGGGGTTAGCCTATGGCCACCTAGCTCTATGCAAAATGCCGAGGTTAGGTCTAATGGGAGCCACCAGTGTCACCAAGGATGAATCCCCTGCTCCTAACCAACAGCCCCATACTGATGCCCTAGGTCTGAGCATCCATGCAGGACAGACTCCACCCTGCCCCTGGTACCAGGCTGAGGCCTGACTTGAGTCCTGTCCCTGGGCAAGAACAAGCCTCACATCTAAATGGCCAGCAGTCACCAGGGGACTAGCTGAGGCGGGGAGGCTGGAGAAACGCAGTCCGCCACTGGGCAGGGGCCCAGCATGTGCACCCAGCTCTGTAGGCAGGGCTCTCTAGCCCTGGAAGACCTGGCAGAAAGGTCTCACCCAGCTCCCTCCAAATCCCTAACCCTCTCCACGGGTGCCCACCTGCATCCCATCTAAGCAACAAGCAATTACACATGGCCAATTCCACAAAGAAACAAGAATAAACTAGAAGATTCAATGAAGAACCCACAGGATGTAGAGGGGCTTCAAACCATGCCCTGCAAAAAACAAAACAGCCGAAGGATCCAGGGATGTTCAAGGTCAGAAAAAAGACACAGAGGCTGACTCTCTACCTTCAAATATCTAAAGGTTGACCTGGTCCAAAGGAGCTCAGGTGACTTGGTGACTACAGAGAAGCTACAGGGTTCAGTTCCCAGCTCAGTATGAGGATTTCCTCCAAAACAGACTCATCACCAGAGGAAGGGGCCCACCCCACTCAGCCCTCCTGTACAGGAGAGCAAGGCTTGGGGTTCAACACTCACCTGCTGACTTCTTGGACATTGTTGGTGCGAGCGGCTTCCATCAGGGCTGCATCTGAAGAGAGAGGGGGCACTGGTCAGATCCCTGGCCAGGACCTACCCCTCAGGGCTGCCTGGAGGGCCACATAAGACAGTGGAAGTGGAGACATTTCAGAAACATAGGCTTTAATAAGGGAGATGATGCCAAGATATATAAAGAGAAAGCTAGTCATCCCCTGCCCACATAGTAGCCTCTGTTAACAACTTGTCTTCCACATCTATTACAGAGCCCAAACTCTTCACTGTGTTCATCCTACAGGTGATCCCGGGAATATGTTAACACACGTGGGGCCTATGGTAAACAATGTGTGAACTCCTTCACTCTTCATTAGCTATAAAGCTCTGTACGCTTAAGTGATTACCACTGTTGTTATTAATCATCCCACTACCTTGCCCAATTTTCTCCCCCACCTTCAGTATCTCAGCCTAGTTTTGAATCTTGATGTCACAGGTCACAAACCCAGCAAGGACAGGATGAGGAGGAACAGGCAGGGGTGTGAGCACGTCTGAGAGTGGAGAAAGCCTCGACAAGGAGCCAGATCTGGCTCCAACACACTCTGCCCCTCTTTCACCACGTGCTGTGGCAGCCCCTTTCCATCTCAACCCTAGCTTCCCTGGTTATAAAGGAAATAATCCTTGCTCTGACAGCTTCACAAGGATGCTAAGGAAATGAAATGGTGGTTGCAAAATCTGCAAATACCCCAGTGCTAAGCCCAGTGAAGGGAGATCCAAAGCAGAAGGTTCCAATCCCTGAGGAATCAAAAGGCCTAGCAGGTAGGCAATGCTCAGCCTCGCCCGGCCTAGGCTGCCTGCAGGCTGTTGGCACCACCTTGTGGCCATAAGGAAAAATTGCCTGACTCCAAAAAACTCAAGTCAACAGAAGCACAATTCTTTCAAGTAGTCCAATACCAAGTGCCCATGGAGCACTCTATCAGTTGGTTCTGAACTCCATTGTTGGGCAGTGGACAGACATACACAGCCACACCTCAAGGAGCACTCAGTCCAGCCAAGAGACTCACTCACTCAGTAAAACAAGAGAGGAAGCACTGGAGCAGGGTGGAAAGAGCAGATCCAGGCTCAATTCTGACTGTCACTTGCTTGCTATGTGACCTGGCCAATTCACCTAACCTCCTGAGCCTCAATTTCCTTTATCTGTACAAGAGGAATAAGATACCCACCTTACTGTGCAGAAGCAAGCCAATTCTGTGGTTCAGACATGCATATGCCTCCACTCCACCCTCACAGCCTAGACTCCAGGGCCAAGTCTTACGTGGTTATCTTCCCCAGGAAAGATATTATTGTTCTCCAAGCACACACCCAGACAAGCTTGGGCAGCCTCCATCTGGAAGGGGGACAAGCTGTCCTCAGATACTGCTGTATCTACTCCCCACTCACTCTTCAGAAAGAGGTGGCTTCTGCAAGGTCACAGAAGGAGTAAGGAATGAGCTGATTAGGAATTCCCAGCTTCTAAAGGGTAGTATCAACTACACTGCACACTGAAGGCCTCAGCTCACAATTTCAAGTCAGGGAATAGGGTAACTGGCAAGTCAGGGGTTGAAACTGGTCATGATTTTGGTCATTACCTATTTTGGTAAACAGACCCTGGTGTCTTTGCTGGGGTTCACATGCCACAAAGTCAAGTCTAGAAACCCAAAGCAACTCTAAGGCAAGATCCTGGACACCTTCCCCAAAACCATCTAAACATACTGGCCTCAAAGCATTCCCTGCTCTTCAACTTTGCCCTCAGGATAATTCCAAACCTTCCAAACCCTCCTGCCTGACTTCCAGACCCCATTCCATCTGCTCTCATCTCATTCCAAAGACTACTGTCTTCCAACCAGGCTGTCTACCCTGCTAGCCTCTGTACATGCCATGCTGACCTGAGACTCCTTTACCTTTGTTCCCAAAAAACTTGGCATAGAATATAGTCCAACTCAAGGCACATTTACTGAGTACCTACTAAGTACCAGACACATTGGTGGACAAACAACGTGAAAGTATTAGGGGAGAGGAGCTAGTATCAACCTGAAATAAGATAAGATGCACTCCCTGCTCTCTTGGAGCTTACAATGTCACTCCCCTTTTCATCTCTTGCCTAATCCTTCAGAACTCAAGTTCAAATTCCCCATCCTCCAGGGGCTCTCCGGACTTCCAGGAAGGCTTTCCTGACCCTACTGACCTTCTAATCCCCCAATTACACACTATCAGACCACTCACCAGACCTACAGGCTTAACTGCCTGCACTGTCCCCTTAACTGGCATTGTGTTAAATTAGGACTTCCTCACCTAGCCCAAAACAAGGTACACAGAGGGTATTCAGAAAAATGTTGGAAGTTACATGCCTAAGTGAGAAAAGTCCTCCAGGGTGCTATTTGAACACCCTTACTTTGTAGATGAGGAAACAGAGGGCCACTGAGGAGGAGCAAGAGGTAGAACCAAAACAAGATCCCAGGTGTCCTTACTCCCAGTCCAAGGCCCTTCTTTTATAGCTGGCCACATCCTGCTGAATAAACAAATGAATATTAAGGTAGTCCCCCTTTGCCCCAAAGTCTTAGAGCTTGGGATGCATGGAATATAGGAACACCATGTCTCAAGTCTTTTCCTGTGGGGAACTGAGAACCTGCGTGGCTGGGCTTATGTAGACCAGAAGTACGGCTCTATGCCTGCCCTCCCTGCCCCTGCTGGGCTCCACACACCTGGGTGAGATGCCAACCTGGGTCAGCCAGCCCCTGTTGTCGCTCTAGGTCTCTACAGAGCCACTTTATCTTCCTTCTTCTGCCAACTGCTCCACATGGCAAGGTCATCCCACTCCTGAGACCAGGCACAGCGAAGCCCTCAGACTCAGGCTGCTGAACTCCAAGAGGAGTCAAAACACCACCACTATAAGAGTACTGACAAATATCCTTCACTGTGTAAGTGGGGAAACTAAAGCCAGAAAGGAGCAAGGGGTGAGCAGGGCCAAAGCTGGCACTGAAACCAAGAAACCAAGTCTCTTCTTCCTTTCTTAGGCCACGAGGTGGGGGTGGAGGGGGGGACACGACTTCTCTAAACCATCTAGTGGTTGCCCTTAAAACACATATGGTTTCCAGGAGACCTCTTAAAAGAGGAATTGGACCAGGGGAAACTAATATTAGAGAAGAGGACTATGCTCCCATTTCAGATGTTCAGTCCAATGTTCCCATTGTACAGATAAATCAAGTGATGCTCAAAGAAGGAAGGCTGACCTGTAACTGTATCACCATATAATAATAGTTGTATAATTTGGGATATCACACAACTCAAAGGCACTGAGCTCTCCAGCCCGCCCTGAGACCAGATGATGCCTGAGTCCCTCCAGGACTGAGGCTCTGGTGGTCTAAAATCTATAACCAACTTCCACCCTCCAAAGATACGGAGTCAGGACACTCTCCCCGCCTCTCTCGTTCACGAACCCAGACTGTCCCGATAATCACCCTTGTTGGACGGACTCTTGCTGTAACAATGAACCACAAGCGCTGTGGCCAGGGCCCACACGCCCAATCCGGCCCTGCTGAGGACCCCATTCCAGCTGTCCGGTCCAGAGAGTGTGTCTTCCGGGCTAGGAAGGCGTCCCCATGTGGCGGCTGCGAAGCACGGGGTCGGGGTGCGTCCTCTCTGGCGCCCCCCGGTGGCTGCCCCTCCTCTGGTGAGTAAGGCCGGCGATGGCCCAGGGCGCCCCCCGACGGCAGCCCTCAGCCACTGAGACTCTCCGCAGCCGCCTGTGGTCACACTCCGGTCGGTGGCACCTCCGTGGCTCCGGAGCGATGGGGACCTAAGCAGCTGGAGGAGGAGTCGCGGCGCCGGCGCTGTTCTCCTCAGCACCAGGGACCCCAGCATCGTGACAGCTGCTTCGACAACCCCCTGGTACCGGCCCCTATGCTGGCCACGTCCAACATGGCTGCCGCGGCGCGTTCGAAGACGCCGCGGAATGGAATTACGCACTACCTCACGGGAGTGGTAGTCCACAGTCCCAGATCTTTCCGCAGCTGGGGGAACAAAGAACTACACTTCCCAGAAGGCTGTGGAACTCGTGTCATAATGACTGCCGACTAACAGGAGCCCGGGGCATGTTGGGAAATGGAGTTACGCAAGGGGACGTAACTAGAAGCGAAATGCTTAGGTGGGATGCGGCAAATCCCAGACCCTCCTTCCAAGTTTAGTTAAAACGTGCGACGAAATTTCTGACTAGTGTAAATTAAAAAGGGATATTCAGCAGACGCCAATTCTGAAACATGTTTGTTTATTTTAACCTTTTTCTCTTTTCAGCTCAGGACAGCTTTTCAAAAAGTTATCTAGGGTAACCGGTGCACCAAAATAGGAATTCCTTTTCTTTTCCTACGCAAGTTTTTTTCGGTTGAATAGCTGATGCCTTGAGAGGGCTGGGCTTTCATGGGTGCTGCCTCATCTCATCCTCATGGCAGCTGCGTGTGGGAAGCTGGGCAAGAACTATTATTCCTGTCTACAGGAAAGGGAATTTAGTCTTAAAAGTGGAAGAATTTGTCAGTAAGTCAACAAATAAAAGCTCAAATCTTCTGATTACAAGCCTCCTCTTCTCCAGACTAAACCCACAGGCAGGCAAAGGAGGAACCTCTTCTTTATGCCAGTTCTATCTCCTGCTCCTGCAGTTTAAACTTCACATTATCAGAGCCTTCCCTGACGGTTCTGTTTAAATTAACAATCTTCCTTCTCGCATCTTTCTTATCCTGCTATTTTTGTCTTCATAACACTTGCCACCTGACAGACTAAATGTTTGTTTGGTTTATAGTCTTTCCCCATAGAAGTAAGTTCCATGGGATAGGGACTTTGTTTTTTCACTTTAATATCACTAGCACCCAGAACAGTCTGGAATGAAAAGAAGCACTCAAATATTTGTTCAGTAAATGGATTACTCTCAGCTTATTAGTGCAGGGAAAATGAGCTTAAGAGTGCAGGCAGACCTGGGTTTCAATTTTGACTCTTGTATTGACTACATGTGTGACTTTGGACAAATTTCCTTGCCTGATTGTTAATTTTCTCATTATCAAAGATAATGATACCTACCTTCAAGACAATCGGTTGTATTAAATGAGATAATATGTAAACCACCACTGTTCTTGGCTCACAGTAGGTCTTCAAGAAATGGCAGTTACTGTATTCCCTGCTCTAAGGGTTTATTGTATTCCCTACTCTAAACTTCTTTAGGGCAGAGACGGAGTTTCTCATTTCCTCATCCCTTAATAAACGCACTCAGCAAATAGCTGTTGAATGAGTCAATATTTTGAAAGTACTCAATAGTCAAAGCATTTTGATCTTCCTATTTTAAGAGATTCCGAGGATATCTTGTCTTTTTAGCCACTCTCTTCACTATAGCAGCTTCACCCTCCCAACTTAACAGTTGGCCACAGGAGGAACAGCAGTCCCTGAGCTCCCACTACCAGGCTGGTCCAAGACACAGTGCATCTGAGTGTGGACAGTTCAAACCCCTGCTGCAGACACATTTCACAGCCCTTCAGTTTACTTAGACCTGCATAATTTTCAAAGCACATACCCATTGATTCTCTCATTTGATTTTCACAAATAACATCCATGAAGGGAGCAAGGCAGGGTTGAATCACTATCAGCATTTGGTACAGAGTACTGAGAGGTTAAACAATCAACGTCTGGCTGAGTGGATAGTAGCGGAGCATGAGAGAACACTCACTAGAATCAAGCAGGACTCAGTGACTGCCCCATCTTCAATAACCAATTTAAAACCCCCTAGGTCACAGTGGTGACGTTTTAAAAGATCTTCAACTAGGGATGACTTCCTTTTGGTCTGCTTAGAAAGCAAAGATTTATGTCAAGTTCCAGTTACCCTACCTGGGTCCTAAGCTTCTGGCTCTTGGGTTAGGGGACAGAGAACTCCAGCTTTTTTTAGTTTGTAATTAGGTGACTAGGGGAATACTGGAGTGGGGTTTAGGAAGAGGTATAAAGTGAAGGATCAATGCAGTTGCTGTGGTCACCTACCTGCAGAGTAGAGTTGGAGACCATCCTTCTGAGGAAAACACTATTCCTGGAGAACAATGTTGCGGAAAAATGTGTTACAGCTCAGAGTTACAGCTCAGTTGTGACAGCAACCTGGATCCAGGCCAGAGACCAAGCAGCACTCGGAAAGTTGGAGAACTCAGGTTTATCATGCCAGCAAGCCCAGATGAGTTAACACTTCAAGGTCTGGACCTCATCTGTAGGTTTACACAGGCCTTTTATAGGCTGCCAGTTTCACACTTTGCAACATCGTATGCAAATAAAGTACAACAGAAGTTGACCAACCAGGAACAAGCTTTGTAGAAATAGGCCAATCAGGAGTGAGCTCCATGCAAATGAAACACTACAAATAGACCAATCAGAAGTTAGGGAAGTGGACCAATCAGAAGTGAGATTAATAACCAATCAGGAGTGAAGGAAATAACCAGTCAGAAGTGAGCTCAGGGAACCAATAGAATTCTAGGTGTAAGTTAGCCGCTTTAGCAAAAAGTGAGATAAAGCCTCTGGGCCAGGGAACCGGACGGTGCTTGGAGGGGACCAGCGGTCCTGCCTAGGGGTCCTGCCGGTCTTTTTATGGGGCTTCCCGCCTCAACAACAACACATATTTTTTAACAAATAATTTATTAGATAGTAGATAATGAAAGCTGAGTTTTTCAGTGTTAGAGAAAGAAATTATAAACAAGGAAATACAGAAAGCTAAAACGAACCTTGTGGTATTGGATTGGAATTAGGGGTTATCAGTATAAACTCAAGGTTTTAAATATATACAGATAGATCAATACAGAATTACAGATATATATGTATGGGTTAGTACATTCCATATGTTACCTCTCTCTGTCTCCTGAGAGGGTCTAGAAGCAATGATATCTTAAACACCAAATACACCTAGCACCCAGATCTAAACACTACCGTCCAATAAAAAGAACCAGTTCTCCTTGGAGAAATGGTTATTTTCAGGACTGGGGCAGGGAAACTATAAGATGACCCAGGACTATCCTGTGTGCCAGAAAATAAGGAAAGAAAAACCCGATACAGGCTTGTGAAAGGAATACAGGAGCCAATTTGAAGGAGTTCCTGATGACCAAAGCCAGCCAATTAGACAAAAAATGATAGTATGGGAATTTCATCCACAAAGTAAAACAAATATCATGAGGCCATACTGATATAAACAAATATATAAATAGATAAATAGGGGAGGAGTTGGGGAAAGAGACAGCTCTTTCTTACAGTAGAAACTGAATTAATATAAGAAGTTAGAAGGAAATAGAAATCACCATTAGGGAAATGCCACAGTTATAAATATTTTAGGCAAGATCCATAGATGATGCTAAAATTAGACTTACAGAAAGGTTAGAAGTAAAAGTTTGAGGGTAAATAGGACTTGTAGAGTTTCCAAGTATCCCCAGCAAGGTACTTACCAACTACAAAAACTTTATGGTAGAGAAACCATGGAGACATCAACTTAACGAAGTGATTAAGGTAAACATTGCCAGTAATGAGACAGAGGCATCGTGAATCCCTTGATATGATGTACTGAGAACAAAATATAATTTTTGTGGCATTCTTGCCAAGGACACATAACCTTACTCCAATCATGAGACATCAGACAAACCCAAAATGAGAGCCATTCTACAAATAACTGATCAATATTTGTATTAGTTTTCTATTGTTGCATAACAAATCACCATAAATTTGGCAGCTTAAAAGAACACTCATTTAATATCAGTTTCTGTCGGTCAGGAGTCCTTTGTTCAGGGTCTCACAAAACTGAAATCAAGGTGTCTGCTAGCTGTATTTGCATTTGAAGGCTCAACTAGAGAAAAGTACATTTCCAAGCTCCCCTAGGTTGTTGGCAGAAATCATTCCCTAGCACCTGTGGGACTGAGGTCTCCATTGTGTTGCTGGGTGTCAGCAGATGGGGACCGCTCAGGTCTTTGCCATGTGACCACCGCCTTGAACCCACTCACATTTACAATCTCTCTGATGACAGGAAGGGCCCCATCATTTTTAAGGGCTCACCTGATTAGGTCAAGTCCACCCAGGTAACCTCTCTTTTGATAAATCAGACAACTGATAAGTAATGTAATCATGGAAGTGACAGCTCTTCATATTCACAGTTTCTGCTTGCCCTCAAAGTGTGTATAAGGCATGCACTCCCTGAGGGAGGAATCTTAGGGGTCATCTTAGAATTCTGACTACTATGGTGCTCTTCAAAAGTGTCAAGGTCATGAAAGATAAGGAGAGACTGAAAAGCTGTAACATACTGGAGGAGATTAAGGAGGAATAAAAACTAAATACCTTGTATGGTGGTGGATAGGATCTGGAGGCAGAAAAAAAATTCATGGAAAAAATAGTGATTTTTCAAGTAAATTCTATTGTTTGGTTAATAATATTGTACAAATGTTGATTTCTCATTCTGAATCACTGTCCTGTGGTTATTTAAGGTGTTAATAATGGGAAAATAGAGTGGGGGATATAAGTGAACTCTTTGTACCATTTTTGTAACCTTTCTGTAAGTCTAAAATGAATTCAAATAAAACATTTTTAAAAAGGAAATGTAATTCAGTCTAATTTCTTCCTCAGATTAAGTTGGTAGATAGGTTAGGTACGGGAAATGGAGAAGAAACTGATGTGCATCAAGGATCTATTTAGTAGTCCAGTCAACGAAATATTTATTGAGCATCTTTACTGGAGTCAACTCCTTGAGGGTAGGGTCCATGACTTCCTCATTTATGTATCCCAAACACGTTGCACAGTATCTGGCACAGAGAAGGCATGTACGTTTTTATTTAATTGTGACAATAAGATGGGATTTTGCCCCCCATTTTACAGACAGAGAAACAGATTTAGAGAGATTCAGAGACTTGTCCATGTCATACAACTAGTGAGTAATGGCTTTACAGGAT